ACCAAGAATCCATTAAAAAGGTATGGACTACTAAATATTTTTAAAAACATGCCATGCAAACAATATAGGGTGTTAGCTAAAAATAAAAAGGTGTCTGCACTACTCCATTTAAAAAAAATGCAAATTTCATCGCATTGCACCGATGAAAATTGAAATAAATGGAAGCAAATGAAGGAGTACAACAACCATGTCACCTTTTATATGGATCCTAAGCAAAGATTTGAGATTGAAAACCTTTCCCTTCTAATCCGTGTCAAGTTTAGGAGAGAGAAAACATCGGGCTTGAATGGGAAGCTTGGGCTGGGGGCAATATATGGCATGCATCATCACGTGCGGTCGCGTTAAACGGCACGGGATGTCTTAAGCCGATCACACGAGATTATCACGTTAAGCCGACCGCATTATCCCGTGCAGTCGATGACCGGCCCCCGGTGGACCTTTTTTTCCAGGCGGCGCCACTTACGGCCCGCTTGGAATCTACCGGGAGCCTCGTACAGAAAAATCTTTTCTCTAGTAGTATCAGTTAATTTCGTGAGAGAGTTTCATCCAGCTCCGCTCCCATTTTAAGTGGAGCTAAATCTATTTAGCTTAGCTCTAGCTCCAGGAGACGTGGAGTTGGAGCTGTGCCGGAACCCGTCACGCGCCACCACTGTACTGTTGCAGAAATGGCATGCAGTATATGTGCCACTTGTACTGTAGTGTGGTACCAGGCCTTGTCTGAACCAAAGACTTGTGTTTCATTCTTTTTGCTTAGATCTCTTTTCACCAAACATGCCCCACACATAAGTACCATATTTAGTCCTTTACATCTAAATTAATATACTACCCAAATGTACAAAAGATACTTGAAGTTAACTATAACAAGTAATCAAACAGCGATTAGCATCTAACCAAATCTGGAATAATGCAACTGAAGTCCTTAATAGTAAACAAACAACCTGAGAGACGAGCAGTAGTCTAGCTACATAGATATATACCTGCTCCTTCCCATATTGAGTCTGTTTAATTCCCCCATCGTCTTCGTGGAGCCCACTTGAGTCTAGAGCCTCACTTAAACTAAGCCACTATTATCCCTTAATTAATCAGATGACCCGTACGGCTAAACACGTTAGGTAGTTAATTAATCACCCCCGCCCATAGTGATTAGCGGCTACACGCTTGTGCGGATTTGACGCATGTGAGGCATTTCTAGAATTCGTTTGATACCAATGTGAGGCCTTTCTTTATATTTCGAAGGCATTCTTAGGAATTTTTATATGAGTGAAATTCTTTAAATTAATTTCCAAATGGACTCTATGTCGCTTCTTTTTTAGCTCTCTCTTAATTAATCACAGAAAACACAGTTAACTCAGGAGGAGTGCTAGCGCGGCTGCAGGTTGGTTAATTTAAGGTGGTTTGAACTAACCCACCCGAGCTCAATCCCTATTGACGTTCACATTCTTACCGCCGGATTTTTCCGGCTTCCCCCCGAGACTAACTTCGATTGGTTTTAGTTAGGTGAAAGGATACTGTCGAGAAGTGATCCTCTCTAGCGGATCAAGAGTCCACTTCCGCTTACGGTCTAACCGCCAGATCGCTCTCGTGGCTGTGAAAGACAAAGGATTATACAGGTTCGGGTCGCTACTGAGAGTAATACCCTACTCCTGTGTGTGCAGATCGCTCTCATGGCTGCGAAAGACAAAGGATTATATAGGTTCAGGCCGCTACTGAGAGTAATACCCTATTCTTGTGTGTGGGATTAAGATCAACTTTTACAAGAGGTCTTGAACTCCGGAGGGAAACATAGCTGTTCTTCCTCTAGGGCTCGAGCTATCTTAGAGTCGTCCCCTTTCTCAGTGGGCGAGGTCCTCCTTTTATAATTCAAGGGGATACCACATGCACCGTTTGCACCTACCCCTCCATGGAAAGGGGGGCCCACATGGCCTTAATCATACCGTTATCCTTTGCTTCAACCGGAAGCAACATGTTCGCCTGGCTTCAGGTGGAGCCCAGCGCCGCCCCCTGCCTGACACGGAGGATATGCCTGTCATTCCCTATTAATTGTATGAAGACTTTGGTGGCTCACCATGCGCGTGGATCGCCCCTAGCAGCGTGCTGATGGGACAAGGCATACCTGCCCCCACTCCGCCTGACACAGGGCGGAACGTGGGGGCACTGCCACCCGTCCCGTCGCCTGTGACCGGTCACAGGCCGGTCAAGCTCGATTGACATGGGTCAATCGAGCGGCACCGCACATCCTCCCACACCGCATTAAATGCGGCGCAGGACGGTTGGGGCGCCGCGCATTGAAGGCACGTAGCAGCGTCTTTCGTCCCGCCCGCTCTCCCTGCCATGTGGTGGCCGGGCGAGGGCCTCGGGGTAGCACGCCTCGAAAGCCCGAGGGGTGTGACGTGGCACCCCGAGGCCCCCTGGCCACCTCAGCGCTATCCGAGGGGCGGGGGGAGGCGAAGCCGCGTGGCCACGCGACCATATGGGAAGGATACTTCCCTCTACTGTGTGTACCTCAGGTCCATTTCACCGACAGATACAGATAGGTATGCACATTTAGTTGTATTGTGTGTTTTCCGTATATGTAAGGCTTTAGGTACACTCTCTCTAAGCGTGAGTTGGATATGTACGGCCTTCCCCGAAATCCCCCAGTCACTGACGTAAACAAAGTAGAAAAAGCACCAATTTCTGTACCGATCCCGGTACGTGTATGTGCATGTGGTGTGGCATGAGTTAATGTGTGTCCTTACATGTACCATCTAAAAAGGAAATCACGGTTAACAATATTAAAGGTATTAACTTGTATTAAAGCTAATATGCACAATAGGTTAACTATAAGGTTGACTCTATCTTTTCTCTCACTATAAATTTAATACAAATATTTTGAAGCATGTGTATAGGTAGCTTTTATATGAGAACTAATATTTTTTTTACTTTTCTTTATCTTTCTCTTTCACATAAATTTAATGGATGGCTTTATAGCCAGCCCACTATTATCCTAGCTCTAACTACGTCGCATATCCTATCCTATCTTCCTATATAGTTGGTTCCCACAATGTCGTTTTTAAAACAAAATAAAACATGAATTGTATTGTAATAGCAGAGGCTATATATGAATTCACATTATCATTTATTTTGTATATATACAGAGTTACATCTGATTATTTGATAAACTAGCAAATTCCACGGCAAAGCGCGGGTGACAACTAGTTTATTTAATAATCACCCCGCCCATATACTAATCAGGGGTAAGATTAATCACACGCGATTCTGCGGTCTTGCACTACTACAGGATAGATTTTTCTGGACGCCACCCTATTTTGTTTTCATGCAGTTCGAAAGGGGAACCGCATGGAAAAATAGAGAACCAGCACCGAGCCGTCGCCCGCACGGGAAAACGCATTATCCCGTGCGGGCGGCTTAACTCACCCGTATGCAATAATCACCGAGCCTCTCGCTCTTAAAATTTCAAACAAATTCATCCTCTCAACTCTCTCTCTCCTCCCCCCACCTCATCCTTATCCTCTTCTCACCACCTCTCATCGTTATCCTCTCAACTCTCTCTCTCTCCCTTCTCCTCTCCTCTCCTCTCACGCGCGCGCGCTGGCAGGCGCACGAGCGCGGCTCGACGGCCGGCGCGCGGGCGGGCGTGGCGAGGCGGCGGCGGTTGTGAGGCGGCCGACGCCCGGATCCGCCCTCCACCGCCCGGATCCGGCGGCGGCATCCCTCTCCCGCCCTTCCCCGCTCGAGGGCAACGACGACGACGACGACGAGGCGGGAGCAGCGGCGGTGACGGCGACGAGGAGGAGGGAGGGCTTCCCCGCTCGAGGACGATGACAACAACGAGGAGGGAGGGCTCTCCTCTCCCTACTTTCGCGAGGCGACGACCGGGCGGGCGCAGCGAGGCGGCGGTGGCGTCCCTCTCCCACCCTTCCCTGCTCGAGGGCGACAACGACGACGACGAGGAGGAGGAGGGAGGGCTTTCCCGCTCGAGGACGACGACGGCGATGAGGAGGGAGGGCTCTCCTCTCCTTACTTTCGTGAGGCGACGACCGGACGGACGCGGCGAAGTGGCGGCGGCGAGCGGGCGCGACGGCGAGGGCCGACAGCAACCGGCCCCCACACGCCCGGATCTGGCGGCGGCGGCTGTCCCCTGCCTGGATCCGGTGGCAGCGACCGTCCCCCGCGGCGGTGAGGGGCGGCGGCGGGCGCGACAATGTCGACGACGAGTGGTGGCAGCCGGTTCACTTGCGGGCCGGCGGGCGGGCGTTTTTTTATTTTTGGTTTTTTTTATTCCGTGCGGGTGGTATAGTATGACCGCACGGGATAATCGATTATCCCGTGCGGTCCTCCTGCCCGCACGCGAAAATATTGATTTTCACAGACAGCGGTGTGCATGCAGGCCAAATGACCGCACGGAATAATGTCCGGGAAAATGAGTTACGTAGTGGTGCTGATGCACGGAACTACACGTGGATTTTATTTATTCGTTTTTTTTTCAGGAAAACCACGTGTCTTCAATGCGTACTCACTCCGTAAAGAAAAGACCTAATCTAGGAGGGGTCATGTTCACAAACCTAATTCAAGTTTTGGGTTGGAGGGAGTAAAACTTTGCAGTCAAGCGCGCGCATAGCTAGTCTCTTGCTCCCTGCGTTCATAAATACGGACGCCGTCGCAACGCAGATTATTAGCAGAAACCAGGTGACGATTAGTGCTCTCTCTCTCTCTCTTGGTGGTGACTAACCTCGCCGCTAATCCCTTGCATTAAGCCTTTTTTTTCACACTAAGAGCACCCGCAATGGTAAAGTAATGTGCTATCTATAAAATATATAAAACATGTACATCTCAGCAATAGACTAGATTAATAGTAAACCACTTCAATAGTATGTCCATATGGGTATCTATAGCTCTCTAATTCATTGTCTCGTTTTTCTCTATAGACTATCTTCATATTAGTAGATAGCTTTACTCTCTCTCTTCATTTAATTTTTTTCAAGTAAGAAAATATACTGACATAGATCTTTTGTAGAGAGCTTATAGATAAATATTGCGGGTGCCCTAATCACTTTGATTTGGTCTGAGAAGACAGTATGCAATAATGGCTTCGTCAGTAGCACTCGTGCTAATGAAGGCTTCCCTCCCGCGGCGGCAGCGCATGGACCGACCTCGCCGTTCTCCCGCGGCGGTTCAGCTTGTCGCCGGCGTTGATGCAGCCGACGACATGTTTGGCTCCCTCGCAGGTTGTCCTCCTCGGCCGCTGGAGTATCCCGTGGTGCCAGACTTGGACGACTACGACGTCGATGACGCTCCGGTGGCTGGACGACCCGCACCCGCCTCGGACAAGACGCTGGCGGTGCACGCCGGGGAGAAGCTCGGGAGCGGCGCCGCCGCCGCGGAGACGGACTCGATCGCGACGCCGATCGTGGGCGGCACGACGCACTGGTTCAGGGACTCGGCCGACCTCATCGCCTTCCGGGAAGGCCGGCGGCGGAGCTTCGAGTACGGGCGGTACGGCAACCCGACGGTGAAGGTGCTGGAGGAGAAGATCAGCGCGCTGGAGAGGGCGGAGGCGACGCTGGTGACCTCCTCCGGTATGAACGCCATCGTCGCCACGCTGCTCGCCCTCGTCCCTCCCGGCGGCCACGTCGTCGCCACCGCCGACTGCTACAGCGAGGCCCGCGCATTCATCCGCGACAAGCTCTCCAACATGGGCATCACGGTATGTAAAGTTGTAAACACCATTAATGGAAGCTTCATCAAAGCATCAGCATGGCATTGCTTGCAATCTGACTCTAATAATGGCGTTCGTTCCATGGATTTGCAGTCGACGTTCGTGGATCTTGACGACGACATGGAGGCTCTGGAATCCGTTCTTGATGAGGGCGAGGTGACGATGTTCTACGCCGACTCGATGACGAACCCTCACCTGAAGGTCGTCGACGTGACACGCGTCGCGGAGCTGTGCCACCGGAGAGGCGCGCTGGTGTGCATCGACAGCACGCTGGCGTCGCCCATCAACCAGAAGCCGCTCGCCCTCGGCGCCGACGTGGTCCTCCACTCCGCCACCAAGTACATCGCCGGCCACCACGACGTCATCGCCGGCTGCGTCAGCGGCTCGGAGGCCCTCGTCTCGCGGATCCGCACGTGGCACCACGACCTCGGCGGCGCCATCAGTCCGGTAACCAACCAATCATCATTCCAAAACAAAAACAAAACAAATTTGCACAATTCACTTTATATCATTCCAATTTCCAAAACTGATTGTATTTGTCGTTCAGAATGCGGCGTACATGATCATTCGGGGATTGAAGACGTTGGCGCTGCGGGTGCAGGCGCAGAACAGGACGGCGCTGCGGATGGCGCAGCTGCTGGAGAAGCACCCCAAGATCGAGCGCGTCTACTACCCTGGGCTGGAGAGCAGCCCGTGGCACGGCGTAGCGACGAGGCAGATGGCTGGTGCAGGCGGCGTGGTCGGCTTGGAGGTGGCGTCGGACATGCGCGGCGCGATGAGGTTCGTGGACGCGCTGGAGTTGCCGCTCATCGCGACGTCGCTCGGCGGCTGCGAGAGCCTTGTCCAGCAGCCCGCAATCATGTCCTACTGGTAATTAATTAAGCTCCTGTTCTGTGGTAACTAGCTAGGTGGTCCGCGCAATTACACGGCCAGCACATATACAAAATTATTTATTTTTTAATATAATTAGAAAGGTAGCCCGCGCACATGCGCGGGCACCTTCTTATATAACGTGAGTGAAATTTTATTATAAATATTTATGTGCGGGTGTATTTTTATTAAAATATCTTGTATTTTGTTCTAAACTAAAATTAAACTTATTTTGTGTGCTTTGAAAGCTGGTTATATTTTTTTAATTATCCTTGCAACATATAAATTCTAAAATAAAATTACTTGAGATCATGTTGTTTTGAATTGATGAGAAAATATTGTGTCAAAACAATAGAGGTGGTTCCTGTGATAAAATTTAGGGTATTTTAACTCGCCAAAAGGATATCTTACAACCTCAAAAGAAATCTAATAATATCATTTTTTTATTTGATTGTATTTTAAAATTATATATATTTTTAATTCTAACCGTCCTTGTAAAATATTTGAATTTTTCTATCAAGTATTTGTTTTAAATCCAGGAACATTTATCCAATTTTTAATTTATTTCATGTCCATTTTTTCTCTTTTGGATAGTTTCATTCTATGAATCATCAAATGATTTGATCTTTGCAATTTGGGATGAAAATACAAGAACACATAACCTAGTATGGGTAAAGGCATATATTCTAAATTTTCTCTCTAGAGATATTGAAGTAATGGTCATAATGTATTTAGCGAATCATCACTAAAGTGTATTGTCTTATAACAAATACATGTTTCTAGATTTTTCTACGTCAAGACTTTACAATGTATTGTAGCAAGTTTAATAAAAAAAATAAAAAAAAGGACATGGTCATTAATTCCTATATGGAACTGACTTGATTTATTGCTAAGTCCACTGAAAGGTTGTTCCACAGTTAAAAATCCTTAGGTACAACCCACATACTTATCGGTATGCTGTTCAACCAACCACACCTTTATTTTCACCATATTGTAAATATTGCTAGATGAATACCTGCTATGATTAGTGACTTCGTAGATCATATGTGTAATTCGGACGCTATGATCATGTTTCTTAAAAATATTTATTTATGTCCTAAAAACATCATTTTAAAAGTATCAAGGTTGATTTGTATAGGCATGTCAAAGAGAAATTAATTAAGTTGGTAGAAAGTAGTTAGATGCCTAACATGATATAATTAATAGATGGAGGTCCATTTGTGTTTTTTTCCTATATAGATAATTTTAATTTTAATAAAAAACAGAGAGAAAAGAATGGCGCACGTTGTACATGAGCAGGGAGGGAGAGATGTTTGGGATGTTTTTCTAAATAATTAATCTAACAGACTAAAATAATGTATCAGATGTTTTTTTTATCGAAACCGATGATTGGATGTTTTGTTTTATTAGGATTTCCTTTGATTTAAGAGAACGACGTAACATCTTAAGAGCATTTATAAGATGTGTAATGAACTTTTAACACCGTATGCCGCAAAGGAGGGAGGGAAGAAAGTTTAGGGTGTTCTTTTTTTAAAAGAAAATAGAAGTAATGACCAAAAATAATGTGTCAATTAATCCTCCGAAAATAATGTGTCCATAGATTTATGTATTAGCTAATGGTTGGTTCCTTTTTTTTCCAAAATTTCTAAGATTTTTTCTAATTTAAGAATGTTATATAGCAGCTTAGAGGAATTTATAAGATATTTAATGGATTTTAACACCGCACGGGGATGGGGAGGGAGGGAGAGATGTTTGGGTTTTTTCTTATTAAAAAATTAACAAATAGATAGCCAAATGTTTTGTTCTTTTTTAATATTTTCTAGTATTTTATTTAATTTAATAGCACCATGGAGCAGTTTAGAAGCATTCGTAGGATATTTAGAGTCACAAAGAGATGTAAAAATAATTTTGATTATAATTTCTCATGAACATAGATTGTTGGTACGTACATGACGGGAGGTTTGGAATGTGTGCTTTTCTTCTAAAAAAACTAACCTTCTAATATAAAAATAATGGATCCACCGATTTAAATAAAAATCAATGGTTCGATTAGAGTGTCACTTGGCGACTTAGGAGCGTTTGTAAGGTACCACTTGGCGAGTTAAGAGTATTTGTAGAATGTTTCATGAACTTGTAGTATATAATTGTCTTTTTTTTTTAAATTTCTAAGATTTTCTTTAATCTAAGGATGTGATATAGTAGCTTAGAGGTGTTTATAAAATGTTTAATGGATTTTAACACTGCACGGGGGTGGGAAGGGAGGTAGAGAGGTTTGGGATATTTTTATTAAAAAATCTAATAACCTAAATCCATCAATTTAATTAGAAATCGATGGTATGTTGCTTTGTATTTTTTTAAGATTTTCTAGTAATTTCTCTAATTTAATAGTACCACGTAGCGATTTAGAAGCAGGCAGAGCTGCTAGTACTAGTAGTTGGTCTATTTGTGTTTTTTTCCCTGTAATAGTATTTTTGTTTTTATTTTCTCATGAAATAGAAAATAACACATGAATGTGAATATGGAAGGACAGAAGGGAAGTACGTACAGTACATACGTACATACGTTCGACTATTACGTACGTTTGTACGTTGGTTCCGTATGATGGTTCCGGATATTCTTTTTTCCTTATAAAATAGATCTAAGTAAATCTAACCATCCAAAATAATGGGTCCACTAATTTAAGTAAAAATAGAGAGTCATATTTCTTTTATTTATTATAGTGCCACTTGGCGACTTGCGAGTATTTATAGGGTGCCACTTGGCGGTTTGGGAGCGTTTGTAGAAAGTTTAATGGACTTTTAGTATATAATAGATAGATAGATTTTACTTAAAAATTATTAAATAGTTATCTCGTTGTCAAGACTTTGAAAGACCAAACCTTATCACTCTCTCATGTTTTTAATTTTATAGTTTTGAAAAGTCACACCAGTTGCTATCGCTTACTTCTGCCATATCCTTCTTTATTTGTTTGGTTGATCTACCATTATTTCTATTCATTCTATTTGGAACCTTTAAAAGTTGGATAGAGTTTATTGTCTCGTTGGGTTTCGTTTTTATAATTTCTAGAAGTCCCGTCAAGCGCTGTCATTATACTCCTCTACGGCCATCTAGTGCCTCTTCTCTTTATTGCCATTAGTATTTTAAAAATTGAACATAATTATTGTTTAGGTTTATTATTTTATTTTTTAGAAGTTCCGCCTAAACGTCAGTGACTTTGTCATTGTACTTCTCTACGGCTCGCACTCTGCCTCCCTTCTTTATTATCATTGAGATTTTAAAATCAAGCATGATTATCATTGGGGTTTATTTTTTTCTTTTAGAAGCCCAAACCTTTAAAAATTGGACCTTATAGTTTTTGGAAACTTCAGGTTTAATCTTTCGTTTTGGTCATTTGTACGAGGGGTGGCTGAAATACTGGAATTTCCGAAATTTTGGAAACTTCGGATCAAAATTATATGAATTTTTGAATAAAATTTGAACCAAATATTACCAAATTCACGAAAAATGAAAAAAAAACTAAAAAGTTCAGCCGAAATAATATCATATCAGTGGGGTCCAATAGAACCGAAATTTCGAAAATTTTGATCCGAAATTTCAAAAATTTTGGTTCGAAATTTTGAACCCTGGCGCCGCCCAACCAGTCCCGGCCATCGCCTGCTCACGGAGTCACGGCCGCCGCCTCGTTGGCGGCGGCGCTGAGCCGGCCACCTCCTGCACGCGGTGCACCACCCGCTCAGAGGAGAGAAGAGGAAGAGACATAGGAGAGAAAGAGAGAAGAGAGGATTGAAAATAAAAGGGAATCGAAGAGAGAGAGGAGCTGAAAAAATTGAAGTGAGTGAGATGGAAAAGAAAGAGGTGGGGTGAAAAAAAAATCTGTGTAGGAGAGTGAATATTTTTGTGTGCAGGCCACTTAATTGGCCCGCTTGCAAAAATAGGCTCCCTTTCATGCGGCTACTAAAGAGACCCATCTGCGAAAATAGATTTTTTATGCAGGCCACACAAAGAGCCGTACACGATGAAGGTCAATTTTTGCATATGCGACCAATTACGATCCGTCTACAATCTAAAGAGGTCCTCGTACAGAAAAATCATTTTTATAGTGAAATGCGACAGTTTTTCTAAAAATAATATGTCAAATATAAAGTGTAATTTGCATGATCTTACATTGTAAGGAGGGTGTAAGTAGCATGTAAGTTTAGTTTCAATTAAAAAAAACTGTAGGTAAATACGTGAGCTCTGTGACCAGGAGGTGCTGAGCTTGATTCCTGCGTTCGCATGCTCTGATATTATTTCTCCTGTATCCCTAGTAAGAATCTCAATATGGATCTGATGGACCAAAAATCGACATATTTTTAGGAAAAGCTATTGCCATAGTTTTAGCTTTTCCGTTTGATTAATGCTAATGTGTTTACGTGTTTAATTTTGTCAGGGGTAAGTGCGACGAGGAGAAGGCAAAGAATGGGATCAAGGACAACTTTGTGAGGTTCAGTTTTGGGATCGAGAAGTTTGAGGATCTCAGGGATGACATACTCCAAGCCTTAGGGAAGATTTAATTTAGCCCAATTACTAATGCAAGGCTAGTCGCGCGTGTCCCACCCCTCATCCCCCGTGACTATGACACGTTGCGGGCGCGGAGAGGGGGATGGGGGTTGGTGGATGGCACGCTTTTTCGTTTTTTTTCTTTCACGTTTCTTTTTCAGTTTTTTAATACGTACGTACACAACTTGTGTACGGACGTATACAATTATTACATACGTGTATATTTATCGGTAAAATAGGAACCGAGTACCTATTTTTCCGTAAAACAATTACAAGTAAAATAAATGGCATGCTTAAACCATTCTTGGGTGATGTGGTTGGAGGCCCACCTTTATCTGTTTGCGGAATAAGAATATAGCCTAAGGTCTTCCTCGAACCTGGTCTAGTCCTGGGTCTCGGTCTCACCTTAGCTCATCTAGGTTACAATACTGCTCTGTGAAGAGAAGTGATGAGACCTATAAAAGCTATGTTTTATAAGAATGTAACACAAGGTTTGCCTCGAATCCGGCCTCGTCATGGGACCCGAGTTCGCATTAGCCCTTGTAGTTTCTGCGTTCTTCTGCAAAGAAGAGCGTCGAAACATTTAAAATAAATACATTATCTACTCATCAAAGACATCTTCGAGAAGCTTCTCCAAGAATAGATGAACTGTCATCACAAAAAGCGCGAGAGCATGATCTTAGGACCGGCTAGGGAGATGGGCGCGCTCCACGGGCTGTTCTGAAGAGCTGCACGGGTTGGTTTCTTGGTAACCTCGCTTACATGGGGACAAGAGCAGGGGAGGAGGAGGAGGAGGGGCCGTTGCCGGCATCATCGGTGAAGCTGGTGATGGAGTAGGGGCCTCCCTCGAGCCCCTCCATTGAGCAGCACCCTACTGCCACCAGCTGCTGCCCTCTCCTAATTCACTTCTTGCTGCAGTGCCGCCATCTTCTGCCCGCCGCTACCCTCTCCTTCACCTCCTGTAGCAGCACCGCTTACCGTCGCCGCCCAACTGCGTAAACAAGACATAATGGACAAGATAAGGAAAGTGAGGGAGGAGAGGATGACAAGTGGCCCCCACATGTTTGTGGGCCTCACAATTTTTTTTTATGAATGACAAATGGGTCACACATATATATTTTTAATTATAATGCCACCTAAGTGCCACATTAACACCACAAAGACGCCAATCAGCGAAACCGCCCTCCAAAACCACCAAGGGAGTCAAATTGCACTGGTTTTAATAGTTTGGGGGTCAAGATATCCGGTATTGCGGTTCAAGGATACGAATTAGATTCGGTCACTAGTTAAGGGAGTCAAAGTGAACATATTCCTTCGTAGCCTAACCTAACATTAGTTTGCCTATTTTGTTATGCTAAATGATTATATGGGCCTGTTGATGACCAAATTTGGTAAGTCATGCATCAAATTCAAAAGCTAAAGTCAAAGCGGATTCAGCGGAAGATCGTTTCTCAGAAGCAGAGTACGTATCGGCTACAGGAGGCATTGGCTAGCGCTTGCATCGGTTGACGATGGATCAGACAGAGAACAGCCGATGTAGCCGATTTTGGTAAGGTGGTTCTTGACTCATCTTCGGGATCGATTAACGTGCTACACAAGTATTGCCATGATTTGGATAAGCCCACGGATAGGCAATTGTATCTATTAATTAGAATATTTTGAATAGTTTTCTTAGAGATATTTTTCGGCAAGAGTATGCCTAAAAAACTTGTTCGTATCTTATGGTTGTAACAGATTTAGAGTCGTGTCCGGCAAGGATACATTATGTATTTTGGATATAAATATGACCCAAGACCGTGTAAACAAGGACAACAGTTCAATAACACTTTCGGTGCATCACCACCTTTTTCTACTTTCATTGTTTCGACGAGTTCTTGCTTTCGAGTTGGGCTGCATCGGGTTCGATCTCCGACAAGAGGTAAAATTTGTCATGGCGGCTTGCGTTCTTGAGATTAGTGCTTACATCTTCATAACACTCTAATCGTGTTTATGTAAATCGTCGAGTTATCATATATGCTATATAATTTTTTATCAATATTGCTATCTAACCCCAAATCGGCTAATATCTATTATTAGAGGGCAGCCAATAGGGTTAGATATCAACATTGATCTAGATTATATAGTATATTTACCATCTCATATAGGTTTTCATCAACTTGTTTAGATTTTATGTTTCTCTTTATGCTTAATGCTGCATCAGTTGAGCTCGATCTATTAAGTAATATCTAAAACTATAATATCTAGCTTGTCTTATGATCATCGATAGAGATAGTATCGGGGTTTCAGCCGATCTTACCTGATTTAGTCGTCTGGTTCTCAATATCTTTACTTAATATGCTAAATCTGCCCTTTATATTAAGATCTTATTGCATTGAAATATATTAGGCTCACTGTTTGGTATATTTTGTCCACTTTAGCATCCTAATATAGAGTGGTATCGGAGTACTAGTCAATACATCTTAGATTTACTTCATCGGCTATGCTATGAATATATATAATCTTTGTCTTAAAGTAATTTTAAACATAAGTGATTTATACTGTCTCGGCTAACTGTCTGATATATCCCAATCACTTTGTTTAAATATATTTTTAGAAATAGATTATATATGATTGATATCTATAGCCGATCGGGTAGATTTAACTTTATCTTGCTCTATTCTTCATTGCCGATCTAATGCAAATAACATCGGCTTAATGATTAACGATATGTCATCGGCCCTTAGCCGATCGGCTATCGTTTATAGATTTAACCTTGTTTTCTTGTTTTCCTTCTTGTTGATTGCAGGATCAAATCAAGTGGCATGCCTTTAAGCCCGAAAGCAAGATTTAGGACCTGCACTGGAGCTAAGCAGATCTCCCAGGCCAATGTGTGTTTTTTGCATCAACATGGCCTTTTCAGATGAGCCCAACCTTTTGCACAGTCCTAATAAGGGGAGGGCTAATAGGCGGGTGATCGTTGTGGATGATTGGGCACCCCCGGTACCTCCCCCTAATGCGCACGCTCCTTCCCTTCCTAATGCACCATAAATTTCAAAAAAGAAAAATTTAGAAAAATAATAAAAGAAGATAGAAAAGTTCTAATACCCTTAAAAATAAATTCATATGCATAGCCTTTATACTTATAAATATATGCAGTAAACTTCGTAATTTTAAATAGAAATATTATATAAAAATATTTATATCTGAATTTGTATTTGAATCGGGTATATAAACTTTTCACTTATAAATTTTAGGTGTGTAAACTTTAGATGTACAATCTTTAGCTATATAAAATTACCCGAAAAGAAAAACTATATGGTAAAAAAACGATCGCCGATCTCGATTAAGATCCTCTAACTTACTTTTTCTTTAACGTAAATCAGTTATTTGTATTCTCTTTAGAGTTCATGTATCATTCAAATTAGAGGGAAGTAAGTCTAAGGATTCGCTTCTAGTCAGCTACTCTGCTGTGGTAGCTGACAAAGTATATATACATAGTATATGACTTGACCTAGCTTTCAAGCAACACAAGTGGTCGGTTAATTAACACGCAGCGATCAAAGATATATAGATGCAGTCAGCTATAGGTTCATGCATCTGCACCCTGCTGGGTTTCTTTTTTCTTCAATAACTCTGCAGCTTAACTATGAAACAATCCACTGATCGAAAGGGTTCTGTATTGTTTTAAAGTTTTTAATCTAGGCCGTCCCTTTGAATCATAGGGTTGAAAAAATAGAAGAATAGGAAAAGTATAGGATTTTGATCATAGGAATTGAAGGGTTAAACAGAGGATTGCAAAACACAGGAAAAACACACGAATAATCGTTTGATTGGACCGTAGGAAAAACACAGGAATCAGATCAGACAGACTCAAGGAAAATTTTCCAAGAGGTTGAAGCTCTTACTAAGTTTCCTCCAAAATCCACATACAATGTGTCATTTCATAATAATTGTATAGGATTTTGAAAGTTTTAATCATTTAAATTAAACGGCCAAATATAAAAATTTCCGATAGAATTTGAATTCTATAACATTTCTATATAAATCATTTCATTCAAATGGCGCTTCATGTCGCAGCAGCTGGAGTATGGTGTGTACACAGTCACACTGCACAAGTGCACATGCATCGTCGCTTGCTCGGCGAGGTCAATTTTTTTAAGGGTGTAAGGTCAATTATTAATTATTCAGTTTCTTCTTGGTCAACAGTTTCTTAATCTTTGAGAAAAATTTGCTCGTTATGAAGAAAAGGCTCCTGTCTTTAGGTTTGGAGAAGACAATAGTCATAATAAACTATTGATGAAAAAACCGGAGAAAACTTGCATCTCTTTTTCATTTTACCCCCTTAAACTAGAGGTTATTTCCTGATCAATGGTGGACAGTCAGAGTACAACGGCCCTTTATTTCTAGGGCTTATTTAATCCCTTGACCTCTCACATGGCCTGTGTCAAAGGTTCACTTTAGCGCTTAATAACATTTCAATTTATTTTCTTTTTATACGAGATGGATTTTAAGCAAAAGTTTTTTTTTTAGACATCGATGGCACCACTGTCAAATTCAAAAATATTTTAAATTTTTTTCATGACCGTTTGCTTAAAATTAAAAACCTCAATGTCTAAATTACTCTTAGGTGCTTCCAACCATATAAACTATGATAAAAAGATTCTAAAAATTATTAAGAGGTAACTTAAACTTATAATGCATCTGTCAGACTGGCATCTTATCGAAATTTGAGTGTAAGACGCAACATATATATAGAGGGGAAAAGAAGACTAACTAAAATGCAACTGATAGTTCATTCTACAAACTACCCTCGAAAACTAGTTCACTGGGAAGTAGAATGAACCTTTTTTTCCTAACAAAATAAACATCTTTTGTATACCTTTGCAAAAAAACATCCTCTATATCTTTCTGCATTGCACTTGTACAAATTAAAGAATTGTCGTATATACACTTTAGCTTCCTATGAAGCCAGAAACGATCAATTAATCGAATTGAAGACCAAAGAAAATGTAGTTGTGTGCCTAAAAACCGAAATATAGATCAGGTACTGAAAGCTAGCTAGCCCAAAATTAAATCTTCTCTAGGGCTTGGAGTATATCATCCCTGAGATCCTCAAACTTCTCGATCCCAAAACTGAACCTCACAAAGTTGTCCTTGATCCCATTCTTCGCCTTCTCCTCCTCACTCTTACCCCTGAAAATAATTAACCACGTAAACATTAGCATTAATCAAATCAGTTTCTTCAAATTACTTCAGATGTTAATCACATACTCCTCTTGTAAATTATTACAGAGGGCAGGAGCTTAATTAATTACCAGTAGGACATGACGGCCGGCTGCTGGACAAGGCTCTCGCAGCCGCCGAGCGACGTCGCGATGAGCGGCAACTCCAGCGCGTCCACGAACCTCATCACGCCGCGCATGTCCGACGCCACCTCGAAGCTGACCACGCCGCCGGCGCCGGCCATCTGCCTCGTCGCGACGCCGTGCCACGGGCTGCTCTCCAGCCCAGGGTAGTAGACGCGCTCGATCTTGGGGTGCTTCTCCAGCAGCCGCGCCATCCGCAGCGCCGTCCTGTTCTGCGCCTCCACCCGCAGCGCCAACGTCTTCAATCCCCGAATGATCATGTACGCCGCGTTCTAAATGACAAATTAAATTACAGTCAGTTTTGGAATGACATAAAGTGAATTTGTGCAAATTTGCTTTTGTTTTTGTTTTTGTTTTTGGTTTGGTTACCGGACTGATGGCGCCGCCGAGGTCGTGGTGCCACGCGCGTATCCTCGAGATGAGGGCCTCTGAGCCGCTGACACAGCCGGCGATGACGTCATGGTGGCCGGCGATGTACTTGGTGGCGGAGTGGAGGACCACGTCGGCTCCGAGGGCGAGCGGCTTCTGGTTGATGGGCGACGCCAGCGTGCTGTCGATGCACACCAGCGCGCCCCTCCGGTGGCACAGCTCCGCCACGCGTGCCACGTCGACGACCTTCAGGTGTGGGTTCGTCATCGAGTCGGCGTAGAACATCGTCACCTCGTCCTCATCAAGAACGGATTCCAGCGCCTCCATGTCGTCGTCAAGATCCACGAACGTCGACTGCAAATCCATGGAACGAACGCCATTGTTAGAATCAGATTGCAAGTAAAGCCATGCTCTGATGAAGCTGCCATTAATTGTGTATACATACCGTGATGCCCATCTTGGATAGCTTGTCGTGGATGAAGGCGCGGGCCTCGCTGTAGCAGTCGGCGGTGACGACGACGTGGCCGCCGGGGGGGACGAGGGCGAGCAGCGTGGCGACGATGGCGTTCATGCCGGAGGAGGTCACCAGCGTCGCCTCCGCCCTCTCCAGCGCGCTGATCTTCTCCTCCAGCACCTTCACCGTCGGGTTTCCGTACCGCCCGTACTCGAAGCTCCGCCGCCAGCCTTCCCGGAAGGCGATGAGGTCCGCCGAGTCCCTGAACCAGTGCGTCGTGCCGCTCACGATCGGCGTCGCGATCGAGTCCGTCTCAGCGGCGCCGCTCCCGAGCTTCTCCCCGGCGTGCACCGCCAGCGTCTCGTCCGACGCGCGTCGGCCTGCCGCCTCCGCCGCCACCACGGGAGCGTCATCCACGGCGGTGTCGACGACGCAGTCGTCCAAGTCCGGCACCACCGGATACTCCGGCGACGAGGGACAACCCGCGAGGGAACCGAACGTGTCGGCGGCGGCAGCGCGCTCCGGCTTGGTGGGAGAACGGCGAGAACGGTGAACGCGCCGCCGCCGCTGCACCAAAACCTTCGTCACGAGAGACGATGACTTCGCCATAGCGATTGAAGGCTAGCTTGAAGCAAGTGATCAGTGTATTCTGAGATAAAACGGAAGTGATTATTAGCCTTAATCGAGGTGATTAGCGGTGAGCTTAGGAACCCAAGGAATCACTAATCACATGTGGTTTCTGCTAATGAGATGTCGCGACGGCGTATTTATAAAGGCAGGGAGCGAGAGAGGAGAGGAGAGACTACGCGCGCTTCACTGAAAGTTCTACGCAGTGACGTTGATCACGTGGTTTTCCCGCAGGAAAAGAAAAAAGGAAAAATGAAAAATCCACGTGTGTGGTTCCGTGCGTCAAGGCCGCAAAAGCGTGTATCGATTAATCTGACCATATACGGATGGGGGTGATTATTTAACTATCCGACGTAGTTAACCGCGGTTTGTGTGACGATTAAGAGCAGGTATAATAGTCTTACCTTATCATGCTATAAGAGTTAAGAAATATATTTGTGTTGAGTTGAAAGAGAGAGAATGCAAGGAAAGAGAAAAGCGGGCGCTTGATTTATCGGCTGCAGCACAAACCCCAACGCAAGTTAAGGTGTCCAAGACTGGCTCGTGGGGATCCTAAGTGGTGTTGACCAATGAGACGACAACAAGCTGAACGATGGTGTAGTTTGTTACTTGTGCAGAGATAGCACTAGCAGCCAGCTATTGTACTTATCAGTTTTATTACGTCGTTTTGCTTATGTGGAGTTTTTTTTGAGTAAACAGTCGACGACACTATTAAACTTGCTCTAATCATACATATGGACCTACGGTATCAACATCCACCACTGAAAGTATTAGCAGGTACTAGCAAGGAGGCTACTCTCAGGGTTCACTACTACAGAAAGCGTTTTTGCATACGGGCGGAATCGATCTTCACATACGGTTGGCCGGCCCGCATGCGTGAAATGGTCTGCAAAGATCACCATTTGCGCATGCGGCCGTCTTAAGTAGACCGCATGCGAAATTCAATTTCCGAATAGCTAAAATAATATTTATTCTAGCATTTTGGTGATTCGTAATTAATGTTAAATTATTGAGGGATTTATTATCGTATTTCGGAGTAGTAAGCATATAAGATAAGACAAGTGCCGCAGTAACAAACATGTAATACATAACCATTAATTCAATCGTAATTTACATACAAATATATAATACAAGTGGCACAGTTTTTTCATCATATGTATAAGTAGTGTACATGTTATTGCATATGTTCTTTCTCCCACTCTCTGAGAGGTTTAAATTTATCGTCCATTGCGAGTTCACTCTGGTTGTCGTAGAAGAGACCTCTTGCGTTGCAGACATCGCGACGGATGAATCGACAGAGGTCAGCGGCCACGTTCAAGATAGTAGTGTGGTTGAATCGTTGTGCAATATATGGGATTTCGGAGATCTGCACACAGAAAGGAAAATAAAACGGTACTCAGTGAAAAGTGTGTGCGAGATGGGTTTCTTTGTAGAGAAGAGTTCGATGACCTACTCGGTTACTGGTTGTTTTGTACCTCCCATTTACTCTGAGCATCTCGCACACGTAATAACCACACAAGTTGGTTCCTGGTGGTTGTTTGTAGCACTGCGATATAATTATGGGGACCGATCTCAGTAGATATATTTAGTATATATGTACTGTTCGATAATTAGTTGTATTGGTATAAATTTGATAGTACCGGCCAGCCAGTCCTGACGGATAACTTCTTCTGGGATGGAATATGTACTGGTCCACCTCTTTTGCGGTAGTACTTGTGTGCTCTGTTTGAAGGAAACAATTGTTTTATTAGTAGTTAGAAGACTGGTGATCGACCTAAACAATTTATAGTAATGAAATGTTTATCACTTACAAATTCAAAATAGTGAGGAATTCCATAAATGTCTCCTTGTCATAGTGTGCGGGGTCCAATGATATGATCAATTGGTCTTTCGGATATACAAGGAATAATATGTAGTGGTCTCTACATATAAGATAGGCTTATTGGAGACAGAAAATTCCGAAGAAGATAAATTAATTAAACAAAAAGAAGAGAGAGCTTACGTGAACTGGTAGGGGACCATTAAGACATCTTTGTCGGCGTGCGCCAACATTGCTATTGCCAAGTATGTTGCTACTTCTAGCTTCTTCCTCTTGTGCAATGTCTTCACATATTCTTCCTTTTCTTCCGGGGTCTTGCCAACCAATTGCTCGCAGTCCTGTCTCAGCTCTACGGTGTGTTGTGTTTTGCATATTCTTGTTGGATCGACGTATCCAACCTTTGCTCCAGTTCTATCAGCTTCGTGGAATTGCATACTGTACAATGAATAAAGAAGAAATGAGATTTGGTTTATTTGTTTCGAATGAAACGTGCAACATGTAATAAAGAGTTCAGACTTACAGACAGAAAGCCGCAACGAGATTAACGTCCATTTTATCTAGCTTGTAGAGGGCGTAAAGGTCTTGGAAAGAGATAAAAAATATCCCATTAGGACCACTCATGAAAGCGACTTCCGGGACGGCGACGCTTATGAAACCGAGACCTTTCCTAGATGCCTTCATATACCATTCGTGCATTACCCTCATTTCCCATGGTAGCTTGTTCATAAGATAAGTTGGCAAGAATGGCTTGCCATACTCATAAGTTTTAGGCACATCGGCAGATAACCAGGATTGCACTTCATCTTGGGCCGCTAGTACTGACTTCTGGGAGTCTGACAAGACGTGAGCAAGTTCTTTTCTCTTCTCAGAATTCCTGAAAGCTGAAAACATGAACTTCTCCTTATCCTTGTCAATCTCCTTTGGGTCGTATGTCGATATCAACTTTGGAATTATACGACGAGGTTCCAAAGTATTAGACTTTGGTTCGGATGTAGTACCATCTGGTATGTGCACTTGTTCTACCAGAGCAGATTGGGGTGTAGGTGGAGAGGTTTGAACTGAGGGCGGAGCCGGGGGAGCATGCTGTTTAGTTGGGGAGGTGGGAGAGGCTTGAACTGGTTGCGGGGTCGGGAGAGGCGGTTGTTGAGAAGGGGAGGGTGGTGGTGTAGGTTGGCGAGGCGGTGACCTAAGCGGTGGTGGTGACGGCAGATGTCGAGGTGACGGTGGTTCAGGAGGCGACGGTGGTGCAGGAGCGGCAGCAGTCATTGCCTGCGATGAGGATGGGGTTAAAGATCCTGCTGCAAGAACGGCCGCGCTCAGGATTATGTCTCTGCGGTGCCACAAGATAAACTGATTCACTGCATCACCGAGAAGTTCAATCCCCTCAGGTGCAGGTATGTCTAGTTCCAAGGAAACGTGGTCGCTATGGACCTTGGCGACCTGTACCCTTGCGTAATCCTCAGGGATTGCCGTGTTGTGGAATTGACGTCCGGGTATCGCTAAACCCGTTGCAACCTCCTTAGTCTTTCCAGCGCGGCCGATTGGTACGACGAGACTGCACGGAGTTGGTCCAGTTATACTATCCACAGGGAAGGTACTTGTCTGCACTGAGCCTACACTGCTGGGTACATTAGTTGTTTGCTGTGCGGATTGTGTGGGTTGCTGGCTATCAGGGAATAACCTTGGAAAAGCTATCGGGTTTTCAGCTGCCAACGAGTAGAAGTGTTCCTTCACTTGCGCATAGATCTTGTCCGATAGTTGTTCTTTGTATTTGTCTATCTTCTTATAACTTGGTGCGTCTTGTGGAAACCCGACCTTCCAACTTGTCTTTGAGGACAAACCCCTTACACGTCCAGAGTGTTCAGCCGTCCCCAACGCCGCAGTAAGCTGATCTCGCTCCCTCCGTGGGACGAACTGTCCTGATCTTTCTTTCTCGACTATCTGCTGCAAATTAGTAGTCACTTCTTCTATGTCTGGAGTCTCGAATAGTATGTCTCCCTCATCCGAGACTTGACCTGTGCTGCGCGCCCAAACCCAGTTCTTGCTACGTTCAACCATGGGGTCTACCAGCAGGGGCTTACCGGCCGCGGCAAATCTTTGCTCGATCTCCCGCCATTGATCGACATGACCAGCGTATCCGCTCGACCCCAATCTATGGGGATATCTGTTCTTCTTCGCGAGCTCGGACATTTTTTTCCTCAAAGCCAATGCTTCAGCTGTTGTACGATCCGCAACAAACGTGTCCCAGTCAGCCTGCGATATATGTCCATAATCCGTAAACGGTGGGAGATTCTTCTGAACATAATCCCGATTTAGATCGGACTTCCACTGTCGCCATCGATCTCCCATCTTTTTAAGTGCGTAATCTCTCCCCCTGACCTCTGATCCAGGAGGGAACACAAAATACTTCTGCAACTCATTCCAGAGAAGTGTCTTGATGTTGTCGTCCACTGTTTCCCACAACTTGACATTAATGGGACAACGCGTCCTGACTAGAGTGCCACAGGCGTTGCTGAACTTGGACCGCACTATCGGTGGCTCGATGGGCTTCCCATCCTGATCGAGAGCAATCACGTTGTAAGTTTCCTTGGGTAATTTATTCTTGCTTCTCTCACCACGTCTTTTTTTCCCACTCCCGCCTGCACTTGTAGATGTCTCCGTACGTTCAGGTGCAGACGTAGCGGTGTCCATCTCAACTTCTTGCTCTGTCCTGTTCCTCCCGGCTTTACGTTTCGAGCGGCGTCGGACTACCATCTGCACAGAATAGGTAACTCTATACACCATTAGGTTCATGTCACATCATAGTTAGGGAATAATACATGGCTAACGATTTTCAGCACTTACGGCCTGTTCGATAGGTATGTAGTCCGGATCATCATCGCGGGGGGCGACTTGTGTTATTTCCATTGGAAACGGGTCACTTGGTGTGCGCCACGTTTCTTCACTAGAAGCGCCTGGCTGCTTATTGCTACCGGAATTTTGAGGAGCGTTACCTTCTTGAGGCGCTATTGGTGCGTTCGATGGAACCTTTTCGTTCGACATCTTCCAACTTGACGTAAAAAAATTTGACATAAGTCCCAATTTTACGTAAGTCCCAATTTAACGCAATTTCACATAAGTCTCAATTTGACATAAGTCCCAATTTAACATAAGTCCCAATTATACATAAATCTCAATTTAACATAAGTCACAATTATACATAAATCTCAAATTAACACAGGTCACAATTTAACTTATTTTCACATAAGTCCCAATAACTTAATTTCACATAAGTCCCAATTTAACATAAGTCCCAATTTC